TTGAGCTGGGAAAACCATGGCCCTCTGCTGGCTGAAGCCAGACCTGCCACTGTATTGTCACCATCCTCTATCAGACAGAATCATACCTGCAAATGCTGGTTCTCTCACCTCCCTTGCTTGGCTCACCCATAGGATGTGTCTTGGTACTATGGAGATCATGGAGAATGACTTTTAGCTCAAGCAATTTTGGAAGTGGCCACCTCACAGTCTGTTCCTTATAGTCACAGGGGTGTGATTTATCCATTTACTACAGTGACTGAACTGTGGCCACCAGTCAGGGTGGATAGTTTTAAATCCTACAATTAGCACAGCTACCACGAGAGGGCAAAATGCTCCTGTCACAGCAACCCAAGGCACTTTAGCATAGATCTGCCTACCACCCTGATAGTTGCAGGACTCTTTCTACCCTCACCTAGATCTACAAATACATCAGCAGTACTGTGTGGTCTTCAAGGATCATTCCTGGACAACATTATCATCTCCCCCTTACAGCAACAACTGGGATTTCTTCACCTGCCCTGCAGCTGCCAAGATACCACCTCTGATACCACAATACTGTCCTGTTAGTCTCTAGCACAGGGGTGGGCAAACTATGGCCCGCAGGCCGGATCCGGCCCCTCAGGGCTTTGGATCCAGCCTGCAACACTGCCACCTCTGTGCCGCCGCTCCCAGAAGCGGCTGGCACCACATCCTTGTTGCCCCTAGTGCGGGGGGCAGAGGGCTCCATGCGTTACACTCGCCTCCAGGCGCCGACCCCCGCAGCTCCCATTGGCCAGGAACAGGGAAGCGTGGCCCATGGGAGCTTCAGGGGAGGTACCTGGAGGCATGGCAAGAGCAGTGCGTGGAGCCCCCTGCCCCCAGGGGCCTTAGTGCCAGCTGCTTCCGGGAGCAGCACGGGGCCAGGGCAGGCAGACAGGGAGCCTGCCCTAGCACTGGTGAGTGTTGCTGCCGCTCCAGGCAAGTAGCACCAGGCTGGAACCTGAACCTCTCCTGTACCCCACACCCCAACTCCCTGTCCTGAGCCTCCTGCTGCACCCCAACCCCCTGCCCTGAGCCCCCTCATACACTCCACACTCCTCCTCTGCCCCAACCCCTTGCCCTGAGCCTCTTCCTGCACACCACACTCCCTCCCACTCCCCAACCCCCTGCATGCAATTTCCCCACCCAGATGTGGCCCTCAGGCCAAAAAGTTTGCCCACCCCTGACCTAGCAGAAGGTATGAATCTCATCTGGGAACTGGGGCATCATCATCACTGTGAGGTATAACTGTGAAGTTATCTCTTCTGTTGAGAGACACAGGTTGTGTTGTTCTGGAACAGGTGTTTTCAGAGAGAAACCTTTTAACAGAAGCTCTTGACTCAGACTCTTTTCAGGGAAGTATCCTTGGCCTCAGATACAGCAGACTCCACTTCAAGAGTGGCTAGTACAACCAGTGTGAGAAGCCCAGCAGGACCCCCAACCCTCCCCCCCTCTTTTCCCCCCTGGAACTGTATGTTCCAGGAAAATGTCTAAGCCAAAGATCTGGCCTAGGTTTGGCAAGCAGGACTCTCACACTCCAAAGTTCTTCCTTTGGGAAAATGCACTTGGTATGGGACAAACTGCAAGGAGTGAAATTAAATCTAGCTCCTCAGGGCCGGATGTGCACAAGAACTTCTTAGCTAAGAGGGGGAATGTACCAAATGCCTTGGCACCAGCAGAGGGGCAGATGGGATCTTTTCTAGAGCTAGAAAGTAGCAGCTTTGCACCAAGTTTGGCCAAGAAACTGGTTTTCTTTGTGGGGACCACTATTGGGCATAAAGGCTGTGCAAGACCCCATTGCTCTGCACCAACCTCTCATTCTGTGTCTCAGAGCAGCCAGAGAAGTCTCCATAGAGACCACAAGAAAAACTACATCACAGATCTTGTGTGGCCTTTCCATTACAAGGCTCCTCATGCTAGTGCTTTGATGTTCTACAAAATGAGATTGCAGAAAATGGGAAAGATGTAAAGAGCGAAGGCAGGGAGGGTTTAATATTCTCCTGAGTTATTTCTCCAAAGAAATTCTGTATCTGAAGTGAGGCAGCAAATGCCCCGTCCTTAGCCCATCCAAGTGGCAGAACATAGAGACCTTTGGAGCCTATGCAGACACATGGATGACAGCTCAACTGGAGTTCCATTTATTATGGATTATATCACCAAATATGCATCTCCTGTGACCGAACTCCACCTGTCCTCACATCTTCTGTGCTATAAGACCCATGATAAGAGTTGTAGATTTTTAACACCAGAAATAGTCTGACCATTTAGTTTGTCCTCCAGCATAACACAAAACATTGAATTTCAACCAGTGATTCCCGCATCAAACCTGTCGCTTCAAGAGTTTCGTTTATAAAGCCATCTAGTATTGATTTAGATTCCATGTGCCAGAGAATCCGCCACAACCCGAGGTAAAATGGTCCAATGGTTGTTACTGTGTTAAAAATGTGCCTTATTTCTAACGTTCATTTGTCTGGCTTCAGTTTCTAATCACTGGATCTTATTATAATTTACCTGCTAGACTAAAGAGCCCTCTGCTAATCAGAAATCTTCTCCCCCAGTAGGTACTGGTGGACTGATCGCATCACCTCAACTTTCTCTTGGGTCATCTAAGTAAACAGAGCTCCTTTACTCTCCTCCCTCCACGCCCAAGGGCAGGTCCCGCCTCTTCTATTTCAAAAACTTCGCCAGGAACTCAAGATAGGCTCTCTTCTGGGGCGCAGAGGCAGGAACGAAGTGTCCCCCCGGGTGGGTAAGGACTGCGGGATCAACGAAGCGGGCAGCCAGCTCTCTGCTCCGTGCTGGGGGGATGACCCGGTCCGCGTCGCCCAGGACGTGGAGCGAGGGCACGGCGATGGGCTCCTGGTCGCCGCTGCTCTCGAAGCCGGCGACCAGAACGGCGAAGTGGAACGGGAACCGCGCGTCCCCGCGCTGCTTCAGGGCGCACACGCGGGCCACCAGAGCCGCGCCCTGGCTGAAGCCCAGCAGCCCGTCGAAGGGCCCGTGGGCCGCGAAGGCCCCGGCCACGGCTTCCAGGGACTCCTCCAGCCCCTGGCAAGGGGCGGCTTCCTCGCGGGCCCCGAGCGCCCCCTCCCGAGGCCTGGGGAACCACCAGCAGCGGGGATCGGCGTCCTGCGGGGGCGGAGAGCAGCGGGCGCCGGGGCCGCCCGGCCCGGGAACCCCGCAGCCGGCGAGCCGGTCCCCGGGCCCCGCCGCGACCCCGGGCTCGGGCCCCGCCGGGTGGGGCGCGCTCACGGTCACCAGCTCCGCGCGGCCCCGCAGCGCTTTGCGCAGCGCCCCGGTCCGCGCGTGGAAGCTGCGCTGGCTCTGGCCGTAGCCATGGAGACCCAGCAGCCGCAGCGGCGGCGGCTTCCCCCCAGACATGGCGGTCACCGAAACCGGATATCCGGCTTTCAAACAGGAAAGTACGGCAGCCCCGCCTGCCGGAAACGCCTCTGCCCCTAGCTCGGGGCGGAACTAGCGTTGCCATGGAGCTGAATGCGGGTTTTCATTGGCCAGCGGGTGCTGAGAGGCGGAGCCGGGGGGGTCCCGCTGGGCTGTCAGGCCTGGGACAGGAGCCCCCAGCCCCGCCCCGCCCCCCGACACCTGCGCCAGGTCGAGGCCGAGCCCGCATTGTTCTCAGGGCCCCCACCCCGCCCCCGCTGCACCCCCTGGCTGGGGGCCCGGCCCGGCCCCGCCCCGCCAAGGGGCCCCAGGACCCTGTTGGCGGCGCGGCGGGCTCCCCCCGGAGCAGTACAAGCCATGACCCCCCCGGCCTGTCAGCCCTGGGGCAGGGCCTAGCTCCGGGCGCCAGGCGGGGGGAGAAGAGCCGTGGGGCAGGGGCAGGCTGGGGACCGCGGGACCGGAGTGAGGGGGCCTGGCAAAGCCCATGGCGGGGTAGCGGGGGACCGCGGGACCGGAGTGAGGGGGCCTGGCAAAGCCCACGGCGGGGTAGCGGGGGGCCGCGGGACCGGAGTGAGGGGGCCTGGCAAAGCCCACGGCGGGGTAGCGGGGGGCCGCGGGACCGGAGCGAAAGGGCCTGGCAACGCCCATGGCGGGGTAGCGGGGGGCCGCGGGTCTGGAGCGAGGGGGACTGGCAAAGCCCACGGCGGGGTAGCGGGGGGCCGCGGGACCGGAGTGAGGGGGCCTGGCAAAGCCCACGGCGGGGTAGCGGGGGGCCGCGGGACCGGAGCGAAAGGGCCTGGCAACGCCCATGGCGGGGTAGCGGGGGGCCGCGGGTCTGGAGCGAGGGGGACTGGCAAAGCCCGTAGCGGGGGGCTGCGGGACCAGAGCGAGGGGGCCTGGCAAAGCCCACGGTGGGGTAGCAGGGGGCTGTGGTCCGGAGTGAGGGGGACTGGCAACGCCCATGGCGGGGTAGCGGGGGGCTGCAGGTCTAGAGCAAGGGGGACTGGCAAAGCCCATGACGGGGTAGCGGGGGGCTGTGGGTCTGGAGCGAGGGGGACTGGCAAAGCCCATGACGGGGTAGCGGGGGGCTGTGGATCCGGAGCGATGGGGCCTGGCAAAGCCCAGGGCGGGGTAGCGGGGGGCTGTGGGTCAGGACTGAGGGGCACCAGCAGAGCTGTGCAGAGGCCCATGGTGGGATAGCCAGGGGCTGTGGGTTCGTATAGAGGGGCAGCTACACAACTTTGACATCTGGATTCCTACAGTAATTTTTTTTTTGAAAGCCAGTACGTTTACAGGGCCTGCCCTGTCCCCCTCTTCTGTGAGCCCCTCTCCCTCCCTTGCCCCTGCACCATTTATCTCCCTCTGCTCCCCCGAGCAATGCCACTGGTGACAGAGCAAAGACAACCAAGCAAAAGAGGCAACTTAACATCGGCTCTGGCAGAGACACAGGGCTTGTTTCTCTTCTCCTTTATGTCCATGTAATCAGGAGCAACGCTGGGCAGTTACTAGTAATAGCATGTGAAGGCTGCTCTGTGAGTAGAACCAAGGCCCCGGGAGGAGAGTCCACATCTGCCCACATGTCAAAGGCCTCTGGGGCTGGAGGACACTTTATTTCCAAGTTTCAAAGAGGATTTTGCAAACTACGGAAGGTGAAACACAAACTGATAAAGAATCTGTCCCTCCACTGCAACTGGCAAATTTATCAAGGTAACCACAGTGTGTAAGTCAGAGTTCACTGCCACCCCCAGACTGAGCCTTGATGTCTGTACACGGGGGCTGAGGCACCGAGGGGAACGGAGCAGTGTGTTGGCGTAAAATCAATCTTCCCCAGACAGCAGACGGGGTGCAATCGGAACCTCAGCACTGTTCCCAGCTTTGTGCTTCTAAACATCCCCAGTTAGTGAGACTATGTCCGAAACCCAGCAGAGTTTAAGGGCCTTGGCGTGCACCATTTCCACCTCTCTGTTGTACACACAGGGCATTTCAATGCAAATTAATCATGGTCTGGGCACAGCTGTTCCTCAATGGGGGGATCTCGGTCCAGTGCCCAGGGAACAGTCCCTATCACAGTAACCACTGCTACAGCTGGTCCTTTCAGGCAGCCTCTGTGGAGACACTTCGGGCTGAATGGGCCAGCCACTGAGAGATGGTTTCCCAGGGCAGTGTGAGAGGGGCCCTGCCACTGCCTACTCTGGGTGCCAGTCAATCAATCTACAGGGCTGTTGAACTGGCCCCTTTCACCAGCTCTGAAGTCAGAGACAGCCCTTCCTGAGAGCAAAGCTGGGTGCGCTTTTTTCCAGGCTGGTAACTGCAGGGCTGTACCTGCCAATATCCCCATGGCTTGGGGGTTCAGGGGTGCTGTGGCTGCACTGGGGCCTTGTCTTGACAGCTGCAGTCGGTGCATTGCTTCCCCACACCAGCATCCACTGGTACCAAAGGTTCAGGCAGCTTCCTCTACGGCCGAGAGAGAGAGAGACCATTCAGAAGAGCATCCAACCCCAGGATTCTGCCAGTACCATCCTATCACCATGCCTGCTCCCTAGTCCCAGCTGCTGCCCTTGAAACACACCTGCCCCACTCCCCTTGTGGCCCCTATTAGGTTATCTTGGTCTCCTTTCCATCCCCTGCAGAAAGCTTAAGTACTGGAAGTCGTGTTCCCAGAGTGGATTTATGGGCACGCTAAGCCTCCCCTCTCATTTCCTAGGCAGATGACACCAATAAATGCTCCTGCATTGCCCTACGGTGAACAAGTGACAGGCTGTGACACAGCCCTTTGTGCTGCTTCTGCTTATCACACTCCAGACAGGCACTGAGCAGCTGCCACTTGTTACAGAAACAGCTACAATAACTCAGAGGAGTGCCTGCTCCCAGTCCCATATCTCAGCGGGAACAGCCGATACAGATCAGAGAAGACTGCTGCTTCTCATAGCCACTCCAGTCCTGCTGGCCCCTTAAATCACTTCCCAGAAAGTCCTCTAGACACCAGCTCCTTGTGCTGGGGTATTGTGACATACCCAGCCAGAGTGGGGAGCCCTGGTCTGAGCCTACCCCAGAGAGCATCCAACTCTGCCACACATGGTGGGGAGCGGGAGCATTGACTAGTGGGGTGAGCTGGCTCAGCAATGACCCCAGAGGACTCTGCCAGGCCTGCTCCACCCCAGAGGGAGCTGACCTCTTGGGAAGCCACAGCAAGGAAAGCTGCTCAGCATCCCTGCCACAGACTCCCTCTGACACACACAGCCGCAGCATCGGGCCAGCACTGGAATGGGCTTCGGATTTGGAGCTTGAGGCTGGAAGTCCTGGGTCCATTTGCCACATGACCTTAGGTGAAAGTCTGTGCCCCTTTCCAGGCCAATGGGGAGGGCAAGGGATGGGGGCAGATCCGGCTGCTGAGTGCTGGACCAGTGCCAAGCATTTCATTATCACTAGCCACTGGCTGGAGCCACTGGGTGGTGCTCTCCGCACACGTCGCAGCACAGGCTGAGGGGTGGCTTCCTTCGCCAACAGGAAAACCCGAAACCCAGAGAAGCAGGAATTAAACCTGTCCCAAGGGCTGGTATCTCACAGAATCATAGAATACCAGGGTTGGAAGGGACCTCAGGAGGTCATCTAGTCCACGCCCCTGCTCAAAGCAGGATGAATCCCCAATTTTTGCCCCAGATCCCTAAATGGCCCCCTCAAGGATTGAACTCACAACCCTGGGTTTAGCAGGCCAATGCTCAAACCACTGAGCTATCCCTCCCCCAGAGTCTCGTTGCCCAGGGCTCTGGCACTGTCCCCTCCATCCCTAGGGAGTACTGGGGCACCACCTGGGGACAGAGAAGGGAAAGTGCAGGGCCAGGGCCCAGCTCCCTCCTGCTCCTGGCTTTGTCTGTACCTGTTGTGTGCGGCGCTCTGAGCACCTGCAGTCCTCTGGTGCCTTCTGGTGGCCAGGTGCAGGCAGCACAGGGTGTTTCTCCTGTGCACAGCAGCAGGCCTCCTGACTGCCTACGGCAGGGATCGGCAGCCTTTGGTGTGGGCCCGTTGGGGAAATCCACTGGCGGGCCAGGCCGGTTTGTTTACCTGCAGTGTCTGCAGGTTAGGCCGATCGCAGCTCCCACTCGCTGCGGTTTGCCGGTTCAGGCCAATGGGGGCTGCGGGAAGCGGAGGCCAGCACATCCCTCAGCCCACAGGCCGCATGCCAAAGGTTGCTGATCCCTGGCCTAGGGTGAAAGGGGAGGGGTGAGGCTCAGGAGGAGCCAAGGCCTTGGCTGGGTCAGGTTTGTGGCCATGTTCCCCAGCATCACCCTAAGAGAAATGGGTCAGGAGGAAGCAGCAGTGAGAGTTTGTGTCGCCCCAGGGACCCTTCTTCCTTGCAACCCCATTGCAGGTCCCTTACCTGCGTGGGCTGGCCGGTGCCCCTCTGGGACTGGTGGCTGGCATGGTTGACTGTCCAGGGCCCCAGGGACTGGCCGGCATAGAAATCCATGGGGTAAGTCTGCTGCCACTCGATTTCCTTCAGAGCCACAGCAGCCTGTGGGTGCAAAGTCATGTCACCACAACAAAGGACCCAGCACACAGGGGAGTCGCATGGAGAAGCGACCAGTGTACCAGCCTCTCTCAGCAGGTGCCGGGGGCTCAGACTGCTCCACACATGCACTTTAATGATTTAGTATAATGGCTAGGAGCATTAAACTCCAATCAGAGTCTGCAGCTTTTTGAGGTGCTTGGTACTAAGAGGGCACTGCTGTGGGGAAGCTCGCAGTGCTGGCGTCCCTGGCTGGGCATTGCTGTGGGGAAGCTCGCAGCACTGGGGCTACACTGCATATTAAATCATGACAGAGCATTAGGAACAATCCAGGTGCTCGCTCTGACGTGGTGGGGGGAGCAGAGACGACTGGGAGCACATGGAGAACGACCCTGCAGCACTCCATGTGGTGTGGCGGGTGGCTGTGACTGGCCCTCTCACCCGATGGGACATGCAGACCAGGCAGAGAATTACAAACGTGTCCATCAATCTTCCCTAAAATAATGTGCTGCTGGCCCCTTAGTCCCTGTCTGCACTGATAGGGGTGGCTTAGTCACAACCAGGCACACATTTCCCATGCTGTTATTTGCCTGTGCCCGGCTCCTGGAGCCTCTGCCTTCCCCCAGCTCACCTGCCATGGGCCAGGCAGTTGGGGGAGGAGCAGGAGGCATTTGGGGAGCTTGGGGCTGGCCGGGCTGGGCTGGGGTGCAGCTGATCTGTGCTATGGAACAAGTTCAGCCAAGGGAATGTCCGTGCTCGCCCCGAGCCTTGTCTGTCGGGGTCCACCGACTCCACTCCCTGCAGTGCTGGGCACCGGGGTGAGTCCCTGTCCCACCTCTGCCAAGGCAAGACAGGGTGCCGAGAACTTCTTACCTCATAGGGTGTGAGCAGCGGCTTGCTGAAGGCTCCTCCCCAGTCAATGGAGAGCCGGGGACAAGCCACCTGCACCCACCTGGAAGGGAAGCACAGAGGCCATGTTACCCATTTAGTTCAGGCCAGAGCTGCAGCCAGGGTCTGCTCCCTCCCACCAACCCGCTGGGCAGGGCCTCGCGCAGCAGCAATGGGAGACTTGCTCATACGCTGCCCGGTGATTCCAGGGGCTCGGAACAGTGCAGCAGGGATGGGGGTCACCTGTGAGCAGTCGTTGCTGGCATAGCTTGGTCTCCCCAGCGAGGGTCCCTCTCAGACCCTCTCAGCTCCCTCGGGCGAGCAAATCCCCAGCGTGTGTGAGGGTGTAGGCCGCATTCGCTGGGGAGGGCGTTAGGTTGCGCCCCGAGTAGCAGCAAAGCTGGAGGCTTTGGGGACCTTTAGTGGCCACCCCCACGTCTGAGGTGCTGCTGCCAGGGCCAGGGGCTTGGCCATTCAGGGCAGAGGGAGGAAGAGGGGACTGGCTGACACAAGGGAGCTCTGAAACTACAGAGCCCACAGAGCAAGGGAGGGAGATTCGCAGGCACCTCTCCCTGGGCAGTGGTGCTCATTCCCCGCAGGTCGCTAACCCTGGGGCCCACAGCCAGGAGAAAGGGGGTGACCTGCTTCTGCAGCCACGCCAGGGCCCATTGCAAGGCGAGGGGGGCCTCTGCAGACACTCGCGTGGGAGAGGACGGGACGGTGCCTGGACAAGCCCTGGAGAATAGCAATGCAGCGAAGATGACCCCGGGGAGGACTGACGAATGCAGAGCCTGCCCCACAGAATGCAGCGGGCGGGTGCTCCAAGACAGGCCATGCTGGGAGCAGGGTGGGTGGCTCCACATGAATACGTCTTGCTGAACTGGGGCACGGGGAGGGGCTCATGGCCACAGGAACCCAGAGGGCTCTCCCCTTTTACTTCATGGGATCCCAGAGCTGGGGGGCCTGCTTGAGTCCCGGGGGCTTGCCCCTCTGATCCCAGCCAGGCATCTCCAGCTACTGGGGTGGGGGACACACACACATACATATGCCAGACCTCACTGGAGCGCATGCTTGGTATCTCGCCACTCCTCAGCGCCATAGCTGCAGGGGATGTGGGGGGCAGCTGGGCCCGCTGGGGCGGGCGGGGCCTCGGGGTTTCCTGCCCAGGCTCTATGCCGCAGCCACCCAAGCCACTGGCCAGGAGTCTCCCGCAGCCAGAGCTGAGCTCTCTGCTGACACTAACCAGAGCATTTCCACAGGGCCTGCGCCCCACTCCCGCAGCTGGGGCTGTGCTGGGGGACTGACAGACAGGAGGAGCGGGCCCATTGGGGGCCCCCACAGCACATCATAAGAAGCGACAGGGGGCCCCCCCGAGTTGGTTGGGGCCCTGAGCAAGTGCTTGGGCTGCTTATGCCTGGGGCTGGCTCTGCTGACGCTGCACCTGTGCCAGGACAAGTCCCTGGATCTGGGTGACACCAGGGAGCGACGCTCCAACGTCCTGGAGTCGAGGCTAAGGCCCCGGTGCTCCAGCGCCCTACTGAGATCACTGGGACTCACCCCTGCCCCCAGCTCCCCTCCTGCCCCGCGGCCCCCTGGGAGAGACTCCTGCTCGTACAGTAAACAAGAGACTGGATGTAAATGAAGCCCATTCCCAGTCCCTGAGGGCCCCACAGCAGGGAGGAGCCTGACACACCACAGAGTGCGCCTGCCTCCAAGCTCCCGCAGGGAGATGTGCCAACGAGCCACTGACACAGAGAGCGCCTCAGCAGGCCACAGGGGCCTCGCACGAGACCATCACGCCCAGCCACCCCTGTGCAGGGGGGCCGCGCCAGCCTGGGGTGAAGACTGGCACCGGGGGTCTGCCCAGCCGGCCCCATGGAAGGACGGGGGAATACTCTGGACATCTGGCACACGTGAAGGACAGCACCTCTTACATGTGTGCACCTGCACGAGGACTCCGGCCCGGGCCCGCCTCCCCCGTGCAGAGGGCCAGACTGGACCTGCCTTGGGAAGGGCAGGTGCAGGGTTCTTATTCTCCTCCTGCAGCAGGGGAAACAGCCAGGGCTCAGGGTTGAGGAGGGTTCACCCGCACCAGAGAGCAGGGTCCAGCAGAGACGGGGAGCGAGGGATCCCCTGGGACGGCGCAGGAGCAGGGGATGTGATGCAGGCTGCGGGAGGAGGCCAGCTGAGAGGATCCAGAGGACCCGGGGGAACAGAGCACAGAGGGGACAGGTCAGACACAGGCCCACACTCACGCGTCCACATTGGGGAACAGCTGCAGCTTGCTAGGGAAGATCTCCGAGAGCAGCACCCTGACGAACGGGAGGCCCAGGGCTTGGAGCCGCGCCTCCAGGTGCTGTGGGGAACGAGACAGAGGGAGCGTTAGGAGAACCCCAGCTCAGCCCAGCGTGCCCGGAGCTCAGGAGGCCCCGTGCGGCAATGCCCGTCAGGTAGGTGGGGAACGTGGGCAATCCAGCCTCTGCTGCCCCTGACAGGAACAGGTATGCTGGGCAAGGCCCTGCCAGAGCAAAGGGGTGCAAAGAGCAGGGGAGGGGCTGCCCAGTACAACAGGGAAGGGCCTTGGGAGTATGGGGGTCTGACCCCTGGGATGTGGAGTGGGGTGGGGTAGTCGATACCATAAGGCTCTGGAAGCCCCCAGTCCCTTCAGAGCTCGCCGCTGCAGCAGGGAGAGCTACTGGGGGATGGGACGGAGCCCATTAGACCGGAGGCTGGAGCGGTCCCACCTGAGCCCCATCTGGAGCCCCAGAGAGGGGGCTTCTCTCTGCCCAGCAAAGGAGCAAGACGCGCTGTCCCTCCCGGGGCTCTTTCCCAGAGCCCAGCCAGTCTCTGGCCTCTCTGCACGACTGTCAGTTCCTAGGAACAGCCCCCATACAGCACATAGGGAGCACATCTCCAGCAGCTGGAGCCCAGACCCCATCAGCCCCAAACGGCAGCTTCACTCAGCTCCACCCTCAGCGCTTGCAGTGGACCCTAATGAAGTAATTACTGTTCAGTGACAACAATCGGTTGTCGTAGCAGCAGCCTTCTCCTCCGCTGCCTGCGGCAGGCTCCCCTCCATCCATCCCATCCCATCCCAGCCACCCCCAAGATGCCTCTGTCCTGCCTTCTGGCCATCATGGCCCTTTGCCACAGCAGCCAGGGAGAAGCCGCTGGCAGCATCATCATCTGTCTTGACCTGCGAGAGCTCGAGCTCCTGCAGGCCCCAGGTCTGCTCTTCCCGGCGTCCTCAGCTGAAGGGCTCAGCGAAGCCTGCAGCTGCTCTGGCTGCACTGGCCCACAGGGAGCAGCTACAAGCCAGCGCTGAGGGAGCAGGCCGAGAGCTGAGCCGGGCACAGGGCTGTACACGCTCCCCCTCCCCAGCACTGCAGTGCCCTGTCCCCCGACCCAGAGCACCCCCCATGTCAGGCCCTGACCCAGAGCAACCCCCTGGCTCCCACAGTTACTTCAGCACTGCCCCCTACCAAGTGCCCCCACAGTGCTGATGCACCTCCCCTCTGACCCCAGCACCCCCGGCTAGCCTAGCCTTGCAGCTCCCCCGCTGGCCCAAGAGCAGCCTGCTTGCCGTGCTGTGCCAAGCCGGGGGCGGTTTTGTGCCTTGGACTCGAGTGAACCCCCCATTTGTCTCCCATATGATGGAAGCTCTGGGGGGAGCAGCGCTCTGGGTGTGACCCCAGGCTGCACGTGGAGATGGGGGGAGGGGGGGCACCCAGGTGCCTCTCTCCCATCATGTCCCTGCGGCCGTAGCCAGCTGTGGAGCAGATACGTGCTGTCCCGGGCGTGCTGGGACGCGTCGGGCAGGGAACGGGGGACATGGATGAGGCCAGGACGGGGCAGCAGTGGGACAAAGGGGAGGGCAGGAGGTGGGAGCCCTAGGCTCAGGGAGCTGCTGCCAGGCCTTGAACTCAGCAAGGATGCGGCACTGCAGAGCCCCAGCCCTGCCTGGCCCTTGGCACTGGGCCAGGACAGGGGAAGCAAAACCAATCCCAAGTTCACGTCACTAAACTAAAAATAGCTGAGAATTAATTGCTGTGCGGCCAGCGTGGGGCTCGCGGGGCTGGCTCTCTCCTGCGAGGGGCCCATTTAATGAGGCCTCGGCACTGGCTCCCTCTCATCTCCTGCTAATTGTCCTGCCAGCTCTGCTCCCGAGCTGAAGAAATCCTGTTCGATGGCGATCAATGGGCATGAGCCAGGGCCACAAGGCCAGTCACTGGCCAGGCGAGATCCCCTCCTTGCCCCACTGCACAGTGAGGCCAGGGGGATGATGGGCAGCCACTCATCCATGCAGCCAGCCACATGGGAGGTGCAGCCAGGCAAGTGCCAGGTCAGCAGCAAGCTCAGGGGAGGGGGAAGTGCTGCAGACCCCAACACGTGGCCCTGAGTGGGGCAGAGGTGGCTCGTGGACAGCAGGGAAGAGGGGGCAGCTGCAGGTCCCAGAAGGGGTGATGGATTCAGAGAAAAAGCCAGTTTCTCTTTCCCTGCTCCTGGGGCGCAGCGAAGCGTGCTTAATTGAGCCCTTCGGGGGATCTGCCTCCCCAGAGCCGGGCTGGGGGGAGCCTGATCCCCAGGCCAAGCTGGCTGCGGGACAGGCATGTCTCTAGAGGTACCTGCAGGATGGAGGTGGAGCCCTGGCGCCCCAGGGTCCCGAGAATGAGTCCCCAGCTCCGGGCGCGGGCAGCGGTGTGGATGGCCTCCTGCCGGGCATGCTGCATGCGCTCATGGGCGTAGTGCTCCCTGGAGAAGACTTTGCTGTAGGGGTCGTACCTGCGCAGAAGACACAGAGCTGAGAGCAGGCACGGCTGGCCGGGCCCAGCAGTTCAGACCCCGGGGGGGATCGGGACCGCCAGGGCGCTGCACTCACAGCTGCCCACAACGGACACGACATTCTGGGTGGGGTCTCTCTGCAGGGAGGGGGCCGAGCCCCTGTTCTGGCAGGGAGTGGCCTGGACACAAGCACAGGTTCCTCGCTGCTCTGAGATGAGAGCTCTCTGCAGGCAGCCCCACACCACTGCCATTCCCGTCAGTCACAGGTCACTGGGCTCCCCTCTGACCGCATGCTGGGAGGAGCGGGGTACCGGCTAACTGTCCCTCCTCCACACCCCATGGGGGGCAGCACACACCCACCGCCCTGCCAACCCCCCTCTCCCTCTAACAGCGCTGACGGCTCCTACGACTCGGCTCCCGGCCTGAGAAGCCAGGTGGGGCAAGGCCAGGGCTCTTTGCTCTCCTGGTGCTACCTGCTAGGGCTGACAGGACCCCTGGAGGTGCCACAACATTGTGTCCCCCGCACTGCGACAGCCACCTCAGGCCAGCCTCTCCCTGCCAGGTGAGGACCATCTGGGGGAGGTGCCCTCTGGCCTGGCCCAGATACAGGAGCCTGCGGGGACGGTTCATTAGACCCAGCAGGTCCTGTGGTGTAAGACTGAGCCCTTCCTACCACCCGCATTAGAGGGGGAATGAGCCCAGATGCTGTGGGAATGGGTCACTCGAGAACGCTCCCAGCCAGCGGCCCCGTGGCGCTCCGACCCAGCTCTCAACACAGGGCAGAGCAGGGCATGCGTGAACAGAGATCCGGCTCCTCTTTGCTCAGCCCCTGGCTTCAGCCCTGCCAAAGGCTGCCATGCACGCAGGCCGGGCCACTCGCTCTCCTCCTGCTCTGTCATTCTTCCCCCTCATCAATTATGAAGAAATCTTTGATTTGTTGCTTTGTTTGACGAAGAGAATTTTAATCAAATCCCACCTGGGCTGCAACAGCTTCCCCAGCCCCATAAACCTGACGTGCATCTCCCGTTAGTAACAAACGACCTACTAAGAAATTCAGATTTCACAAAATGGGCCAGCCTTTTGCTCCTGATATTTCATCTGCTTTCAGCAGCCTCATCATCACATTTTATGGCCTCTGCCTGCAGCAGCCGAGGAGTTTAATGGCTGCACCTCAAAGAGCTTTCACAGGTACTTGTCAAAATGTTTATATTCAGCCTGAGTAAATGGCTGGTGTTCATCTCATCAAGCCTGGCTCCCCTCTGCACCTCTCCCTCAGCCCTGGAGCCGCTCCTGCTTGTGCTTGCTCCCTGTTTGACGCCTCCTCTGCCAGCGACGTCCGCCTGAGAGCCCAACACCCTGGAGGAGGCCAGCCCGTGCTGCTGGGAGCTGGAGGGTGAAGGCCCAGGAGCAACAGCTGCCGGAGGCCCTGTCTGCCTGCCCAGCGCTCTCTGCCGACAGGAGAGCCGTCCCGCAGGCGTCATAACAGCACCGCGCAAGCGGCAGCAGCTGCACTGGCGGGAGCTCTCTGTGCACACGAGCACTCTTGTCAGTCTGATGTATGTTGCTCGGGGCGGGTTATACGACATAACCTGTAGTGGAGACGGAGCCTGAGAGCCCATGAACAGGGTCTGCTCTTGGTAGCAAGTTCTGGCCCACCGCCTCTCTCCTCACCCAGCCCTGCTGCACCGTGGGCCAGTGGTGGTTTGCAGAGAGCTGGCTGCTGGCTTCCCCACCCCTGCTCTGGCAGCAAATTGTATTACAAAGCTAAAAAACCGTTAAACGTTCCCCAGCATCCCTGCCACGGGCTCCCACGGGGGGTAGGCAAAAGCCAATGGGAGGGGAGCCGGGTCTGAGTGACAGCCAGGGGAAGGAGAGGCGGGATGCCCAGCTAGAAATGGGAGGGGAGCCGGGTCTGAGCTATGTGTGTCTGACTATGCCCATGCCAGGAAATCCCATATCTCCTCCCCAGCAACGTACTGTGTGAATGCTGGCGACCCCTCCCCTCCACCCCTGCAGCCTGGCTGGCTCCAGTACCTGTAGGCAGGAACTCGGGGGTTGGCAATCATGACAGACTCCAGGTGGAAGCGCCCATCCCCCAGGTACCTGTAACCGGGAGAGAAGAGCTCAGGGAGGCTGCTCAGGAGCCAGCTGACTCCAGAGTTTGGTTCAGCCCCGGTCTGACTGCCCCGTGCTGCTGCATCTGAGCGCTGGGTACAGGAGCCCACGCCAGCCCCTGCTGCTCGCAACAGGCATGGAGCAGGTGAAGCAACTGACTCAGGGCTGGGTTCAGGCAGCCCGGCCCTCTGGGACTTGCAAACCAAGCCTGTGAGGCGACATGGGGACCCGTCGGTGCCAGTGGGCAGGGGGGAACCAGCCCACGCTGGCGTCAGTCAGAGAAACCTCCCTCCACGCACGCAGCTGGCTCCGCCCTGGTGCGCATCACAGCAGGGCAGGCTACCCTCCTTCTGGCTGACTTATAAGTGGAGCTCAAACAGCCCCCGGAGTGAGCAGGCTGAGGAGCGTCCTCGGCCTTTACAGGGTGAACGCACTTGGCCGCTGCCTCCTTTGCTTTAACAGCCTCACCTGCAGACCACGAAAGACCAGAGGACGTGGCTCTGGGAGCCTGCGTGGGGGACGAGCTCTGGCGTCCCCGAGTTAAGGTCGGGGCTTTGCGTCTGCTTCCGCTGGTGGGGAATGGTTTGCTGTGACTGTGCCAGGCCTCTCCATGTGCAACACACCCACCTGCACAGCGATGGGGCTGGCCCTCATCACAACTGCTGGCCCAGCCCATAGCTAGGTTCCAGGGGCCAGGCCAGCAGAGCCGCGGTGCTGTAACCCCAGAGTGTAGACGCAGCCTAAACCAATGGCAGGGGTTTTCGGTCGCTGTAGGAACACCACCTTTCTAAGCACTGGCAGCCAGCTCAATGGACGCGTCCACACTGGGGCTTAGGTGCTCGGGGTGTGGATTCTTCACAGCCCTGAGTGACGTAGCTATGTTGACGTAAATTTTAATTGTAGACCAGGTCTCCAGAGGGAACAGACCCCAACCATGCTAAGCTGCCCCCCCTTGTACACCCAGCAGCTGGCACCTGGCCACAAGGGAGACTGCAGCCCTGGGCACTGACCCGTCTCCTGGGTACCACAGGTAGGGAAATGAGTCCGGAGCATATTTTAAACAACCCGATTTCCATTCCCACCACTTCACCTGGGGCTCTCCCCGCCAGCACATGCCACACCTGCCGCCTGGGTGAGCGCCCCCCTGCTGGAGCCAGGAGAGGCCTCCATTCTCCACCCAAAAGTGGATTCCTGCTGCTGGACCGGAGCAGAGAGGGTGAGTCAATGTGCACCTCGGAGTTGCTCAATAGCAACGTCTGGTTAGAGACATTTCTGCTTCCATTTCTAATCAGATTTCAAGTCAGCAATTACATTTCAAAGCCTTTCATTCAGCTGCCCTAATGGAGTGAGGGCCTGGAAAATGAATTCAGACGTAAAACTTGACTAGATTTTGCCCTTAATTGGAGAATGACATTTTGGAAGATCAAAGCTAATTTGTCTGCAAAAGTTAGCCCCAGAGACGGGCTCAGTAAGAAAATAACACCTCAGAAAGGGGCCTGTGGAGTCGTGCAGGTACAACAGCCAGTGCCACAGCTGGGACTCACCTGCAGCAGCTGGACACCCACATCTGCAATGGAACAAGAGCCCACAACTGCACCCACTGGAGCTTCTCTCCATCACTAGGAGAGGCCAGGGAAGGGGGCTGGTCTTGAAAAGCCCCGGTCTACATGAACATGGCGTGGAGCCTGAATCCCCCTCCCCGAGAGGGTGGGAGAGCGGGAAATTGGAAGGAAACACATTTAATACTGATCGAAGGAAACCCATGATTGACCTGTGGAACTCACTGCCACAAGACATGACGGGGAGCAGGAGCTCAGCAGGACTGCAGTAGGAATCAGGCATTTACATGGCTAGTTCCTTTAGGCAGAATGAGGATTTACTGGACAGCTCCGAACCCTCAAGCCAGGGCCTGAGACGCCCATTGGCTGAGGAGGCGTGGGGGACACCCCCTTATGCAGTGTGCCCCAGACTTTCCAAGGCCAAGCCCTCTTCAGGAAATGAAGCCAATGGCGTGTGTCCCCCCCATACCATGTGGCCATGCCACTCTTCAGCTGTCCCCTGGGGGGACGGTTCTTGTTGCCTCCTTTGGAGCTGGTGACTGGGCTAAAGGAAGCCCCTCTGGGCGGTGCCTGTGTGCCTCTCACCATGCTGTGTGTCTACAGAACCCACCAGAGCAGCCCCTGCCGTGCCACCCTGGTGCAATGTACCCAGTGCCGTGCCAGCCCGGAGTTAGGGCAGCTGCAACACAGCGAGCTGGAGGGGCCTGTCACTCAGTCACAGGAGTTCTTGAGAAAACGTCTAATGGCTCTGAGCCGGCTCTGAGGCGTCAGATCCAAGCACGGGCATCAGGCGCTCCCGAGGCTATGGGGAGAGAGCAGCAGAACAGAGCGGAGCCTGGAGCTGGGCCAGGCCGGGCAGGAGGAAGGGAGGCTGGGGCCCGCCAGAGGTGAATTTGAACGGGGAAGAGCAGCAGGCCCAGCTTGGGCTCCTGCCAGAGAGCAGTGTGGAATGACGGGGTGTGTGTGAGGGGTCCTCCCCACCCCACACGCCTGCACTGTCAGCAGGATCCCACGCACCGTGCACTGAAGGGCCAGCATCCCCCAGTGGGCTGGGGTGAGACACACCAAGCTGGCCTCCAGGAACATGTCCCCTGTTACACCCCAAGAGTCACCCTCCTCCCAGCACAATGGGCCAACAACCCTGACTCAGGCCGTTCAAATCACTGGGCATGCTAACCCGAGTGGGTGGATACCACCCTGTCCCACTTCAAGCTCCCAGGCGGGCTCAAGGGGCAGCGTGAGCTGTGGGTCACCTGTCCTACACATGGACCGCCCCCGAGGGCACGGCCAGCACAGCTCTGCCTGGGCTCCCCCTGGGTGGGGTCGTTTATTTATTTATTCTGCAGCTCACTGTATTCACAGTACATTAAGCATTTCCATTACCTAAAATAATTAGGTGATAGGAAGCGAAGTGCTCCCTCTAATTTGCTGTCCTTAAATAAAATTAATGGTGCTGTGATGTTGGGGCCTGGCCATTCGTCTTCTCCAATTATCTGCCCGCCTTTCCATCTATTATCTAGTCTGATCTATGACTCAATTATTCCTTCTGCGCTACAAGCGCAAGCCACTCTGTGTGGAGCCTGTCAGGCGGGTCCTGTCTCCCCCAGGTCTGGAGCACGGGGACCCACCTCTGCCAGATCCCCCCCGGAGCACAGGCAATCCCAGGCTCCACCGAGGTTTCTGTCGCTCCCTCGACACGCATGGGGCTGTACAAATGGGGGAAGAGGCCTGCTCTATGCACAGGTTTTGTATCGCCTGACCTAGAGGACCTAAAACCGCCCACTGTTGAAGTGTTGCTCAGCCCGTAGCTATTCCCAGCCCGCAGAGGGCAGAGCTAAGCAGAGAGCTGGGCTGAAGGCAGAGGTGCGAGGGGGCCGTGACGGGCAAAAGGACAGAAAGGCAGAGGACATGACCCAGAACATAGGGAAGCCAGGGCCCCCAGGGCAGACCCCCATTTCCAGGAGCTCTGGTCTGTGCCCCACAGCTGAGCGAGACCCTCTCCATGAGCCGGGCTGTGGCATCTTGTGGGCAGAATGGGTGGCACAGCCCAAAGGACAGCAGAGTCCCCCCTCCCTGCAGAGAGGTGCAGGACTGGAGTAGCCAGGAGCTCCCCGCACAGCCAGTGCCCTGCCCCACTCCCCACAGCACCCCCTGCTGGGAGAGGCCGGGGCTGCTGTAGCCAGGAGCTCTCCCCACAGCCCCCTGCCCTCCTCCCTACAGCACCCCCTGCTGAAGGAGACCAGAGCAATATAAGCAGAAAGGGGAAGTGTTTGCGATGAAGGAGTGCTATATAATCCCTGGTACTTACACAATGGCATCTGTGTCTGGCCCCAGCCGGGGAGATGTGCAGCCCAGGATCTCGCCTGGCGAGAGCGGCTTGCACTGCGGGATGCTGACCTTGTACTCGGAGCGCAGCACCTGGGATGCCGCCTGTGGGGAAGAGACAAGGGGTCAGAGACCAAACGTGGAGGATGGGGCTTTGGGGTGGGCTGGGCTGAGAACAAACTGCCCCAGAGGCCGAGGGAGGTGGAGAGGGACGGAGCGGCAGAGAGGTCTGTGCTTGGAATACAGCCCCTGACTGACTGCACAGGGCAGCACAGGGTGTTCCCAGGCCGTCTCATCACACCTCCGCCCTCAGACTCTGTGTCCTTGGCCCCAACGCCTGGGCCCGGGCCAGCCCCCAGCAGCAGGCTCCCCCAGCCCAGGGCAAAGGAGAGGGCAGCGCATTCCGAGTGGATCCAGGGTACTGGCGAGGGGCCCTGGGATGGAGGGTGGGGTGTCTGGCAGAGGCGAGGTCTCCTCCAGGCAGGGCTGTGGCCGGCCAGAGCAGCGAGAACTCGCCTGGCCGAGTGAAGTGGCCTTGCCTCGGTGAGGGAACGTTGGGCCAGACGCTGGGAGCCACTAGCAGACGCATCAATTAAAATACAAGAGAAAATGTTTAATGCTTCAATGACCCCATGTTTAGACAGACATGGCTCAAGAGGCTCATTCATCTCTCCCGTCCTGCTGAGCTGGCCATTCACGAGGAGCAGCTAATCCGCAGCCAGACCTGCCAGCGCCTGCTGGAGCTTCCCCTGCCACTACCAGCGTCGCAGCAAAATGCCAAGTGCTCTGCTGCCTGCCCTGACATTTACAGGGCCGGCTCCTCGGCATGGGGGGAGCACGGTCATGAAACATTGATCAGAGTTCGTACAGAGCACTTGATCAACATTATGGCAGGAGAATATTATTGCAGCTACTCATTAGAGGGGAACCGGCGGCCCTGAGCAATCGCCGAGGCTGGAAAGAGAGATACCACTAGACACACAGGTGTACACCCGCCCCCGACAGGTGTACACCCTGCCCAGCACCCCCCCCACCCACAGAGAGGTGCACCCTGCCCAGCACCCCCCACCCACAGAGAGGTGTACACCCTGCCCAGCACCCTGCCCAGCACCCCCCCACCCACAGAGAGGTGCACCCTGCCCAGCACCCCCCACCCACAGAGAGGTGCACCCTGCCCAGCACCCCACCCACCCACAGAGAGGTGCACCCTGCCCAGCACCCTGCCCAGCACCCCCCACCCACAGAGAGGTGTACACCCTGCCCAGCACCCTGCCCAGCACCCCCCCACCCACAGAGAGGTGTACACCCTGCCCAGCACCCTGCCCAGCACCCCCCCCCCAGACACACAGACACAGGCTCTGGCAGGCGCCCTGCCCTGCCACATGCAGCGTTGTGCTCTGCAGCTCAGCCCGGAGGGGGCTGCAGCCCAGCAGGGAGGGAAGGCCGGGTCTCTGCACACCCTGCAGTTTTAGGGCCCTTCGGGGTTAAATGGTTTGCAAAGAGCGAGTTCTTCCCCCTCCCCTCCCTTCATCCTGGTGCCGAGCCCATGGGCCCCAGCCTCAGCACAGGAGCCCCCACCCCCTGACACTGCAGAACCCAGGCGTGGAGGCCCCCACAACTGCCTGATTTCCAGGTTGAACATGGATCTTGATACAAATGCAACTGCCAAGGAGAGAGGCGTGCAAGTGAGCTGTTGATTGCGGGACGTTCACCGTCCCTGCTGTGCTCCTTATAAACCCACTCAGTCCCGTTGGCCCTGGGAGCCCACGGTTTGCAGGTACCAGGCGGTGCTCCAGTATTTTCTGGCATGGCTCCCTGAAGAGGACCCAGCATTGGAGCAGGGTGACCCGGAAGCCACCAGGCGCTGGCTCCGGGAAGTTGTTGCTTATCTGCATTCACAGGCACTGGGAGGCAGCTGCTTGCAGGGAATGAAAGAGCCCCCCGCTGGCAAGGCGGCATGGGGCTGGGGCTCCCGTGTTGTTACTGGTGTGAGGCCCCACAGCTGTCTCACCTGCAAAGCAGAGACAAACTGGATGGTGCTGACAAGAGCCAGGCAGGCGCCCTTGGGGAAGTTGAAGTGGATGGTCTCCACGAAGTGGGACGTGTCGATCTTGATATCCACAAACACATAGAGCATCTTCACCCCCTGCGTGGTGTCAATGGGAACTAGGGCCAAGGAGAGAGAGGCGTGAGGTCAGCTGGCTGCCCCCAGCACAGCCGGCTAGCAGAGCCTCCCTACTGCAGCACCTCCCAGCCCACGCACAGGCACCGGCTGGGGAAGCAGCAAGAGAGTGGCTTGAGCCCAGCTGCTGAGCCGTCCCCCCGGGCCTGCGTGCAGCCGTTGTGTAAGGAGAGGGGCCGGCCCCCTCAGCGGCACCACACTGGCTTGCCGAAGCCATCAGGCAGCCCCTGCCCCCATTTGCAGAGGCTCCCGGCTCGCTGTGCGCTGGTCAGTGCTGTTCATGTCATCTATTTACACCGAGGAACGTTTCACAGGCAGGCAGGGCTCCAGGCCCAGTCGCAGAGCTCGCCAGGAGATGATGTGCGAGTCCCTCGGCCTGGCAGCGCCAGCCCGCCATGGCCAGGTCAGGGCTTGTAGCACGCAGCTGGGACAGCATGGTGAGCTGCGTGCCGCAGGCAAAGGAGAGAAGCACGTGGTCATTTCTCTCTGGGTAACAGCCACCCAGGGAACGGAAGAACTACTCTCCATGCTAAGGAGCCCATGTCGCCACGATTAAGTGACTAATTAAAGAACCCAGGGTCCGCATTGACCCATAACGCCGCACTCCATGCCCATTTCAGTGCCGTTCACCTGAGCACAACTAAGTGCCAAATTACTCGCTCCTGGGGGGCTGTGGAGGGGCTGCAGGCCCACAGAGGGAGTTGTGCCCTTGTCCTTCACAGAGCACGAGGCATGGCACAAAGGCCTGGGCACAAATGCCAGGGAGAGCTCGCTGTAACGGTAACCAGCCTGCTACCGGGCATCACCTGACCACAGGAGCTCTGCTCAGAACAGCCAGGGCAGCCGCCGGCCAATCGACGGGGAATGCAACCCAGGGCGAATGGCCAGAAGCTGCACTGCAGACAGCCCCGCTGGCTCCTCGCGGCGACCAGACCACTGCCTTGCCCTGCCCCTCCCCGCACCTCCGGGGCCTGAGGCCCGAGTGCCACCCTGAGGCCCGGGAAGTCAGAGCCGCAGCTGCAGCACAGGGAGGTGCAGCTCACGCCCCTCCGGTTCCCCTGCAGTCCCGCCATACCCTGCCTCAGGCTCCGGGGCAATCCCGCCATGGGCGGGCCCAGCACCTGGCAGCTGGCAGCATCGCGCAGGCCTGCACCATGTGAGCCACTGTGGGAGACACGGCACCTTGTGCCCCCCGGCTCCGGGGCTGCAGTCAGAACACCACAGGCCTCATCTTGCCACGCAGGGCCAGGCTGGTTCAGGATTTGGCTGGTAGCTCAGCAGAGGGGGAGCCCCTCCCCATCAGAGTGACCCCAGAGGTGCTGCCTTTCAGAGAAGTTGTAAAGGCCCCCAGCACGCTTCCCAAGTCGCGGCCATGCCTGGTACATGTGCGGGCTCTGGCACAGCTGCCCCAGCACCGGCCGGATCAGGCAGAGTGTTAGCCAGTCTCTTCCCTTCAGCTCTTGTGCAGAGCTGCTTGCCCAGGAAGAAGTGCTCCCTGCCAGCAGTGGCTGCATTTCCCGGAAAGGGCTGGGGACCTTCATCAGGAGAGCCCAGTGCATAAAGCAGCTCCCACCCATACTGGAGAGATGCCCCTGGAGGAATATTACTCTGGTCCCCGAAATGGGACCCAACCGGGGGTCCCTTCAGGCAGGCAGCAGCTTTGCGTGAGCTCCTGCTCCCGAGTGCTTCTCTTTTCGCCGTTCATTAATCTAGCAGTCGGGACAGACCAGGAGTTCTTATGTCCTCAGGCTATTGACCTGTCTCCCTCTGACCCTCGCTCCTATAGTGCAGTGATGGACATTGATAGCTGTGGCCACTTGCCTGGACGTGGGTTGGGACCCTCGCTTTTCAACCCTGCAATATTCTATAAGAAATGTGATTACTAAAAGTCATTTCCATGCCCTGTAAATTCAACCCCCAGGGAGGCTTCTCCATCTGGGGCCCATGATGCAGAGACAGATGACAGACCCACCCCTGGCAGGGTGCCTGGGCTGACCTGCATGAACTCCCACCAGTGGGGACTGGGCTCCAGAACTGTCTGGGAGCGAGGGAGACGGTCCCAGGGAGCCAGAGGAGTCGGCACTGGGCTTAGAACTGGCTCCAGGACTCAGCCAGACCCCAGCTCCCATGACACAGAGCCTGAGCCTCTGGACAGCACAGACAGGCCCCCCCATGCCCGCTGATGCCAGGGACACACAGGGAGGGTCCTGGGTGACTGATGCTGAAGTGCCCAATGGGCGGGGGTGCCCTGCTGTCCACTGTAAATGCCCAGGGAGTGTGTGTCCCATGAGCTCTTTGTGGTCAAGCACCTGGGTCACACAGCACGCCCCCAGGCAGGCAGGTGCGCTCTGGCCACGTCAGCAGGGACACAGTCAGGCCCCAGGCCAGTCTCAGTGGGGTAAGGGCTGCACAGCCCGTCCACCCCGAGCCAGGAGGTGGCCTCCTGGAGCCGGGCTGGGGGATGCCTTCGTCCGCCCCAGCCTTGCCCTGCCCTCCACTACCTGGGGCAACAATTCCACAGAGCCACCTTAAAACCCAAAGTGCCTTATTGTTATTTTTGGGCGGATTCCACCCTGGGTGGACTTCAAAGTTAGCAGCATCTGGGACAGCAGCGCAGTTTCCATGGCAACTGAATCCAGAGTACCCTTCCGCCTAGGGAGCACAGAGCCGCCTCCTCGCCTGCCCTTTAAACCAGCCCTTACGGCCCCGCTGCCACCAGACCAGGGCTAGCACGGGCCCCAGAGCAGGGCAGCCCCAGCCAGACCTGCCTCTTCTGCTCCCCTAGGCCTCCTTCAGCCCCTCCTTCCCCTCCCTTCTGCTCTGGCTTCCACGAGACCCCCCGGCACCTGCTCACAAGCACAGCACCTCCCACTCCTCTCCCCGTGCCTGGGACTGAGGGAGCCCGGCTGCGTGTGGCACCTCCCGTACCAGTGTCTCTGGAGACGGAGAATGGGCACATGACAGGGACTCAGGACTCTTGGGTTCTAACCCTGCCCGAGCCCCGGCCCTTCCCTCTCGTCCCCTGGGGAGAGCACTGACCTGCCTGCCGGGCCAGGGAGGGGTCACTGATCAGTGTGTATCAGCCCGTGCAGGGAAGGGGGCAGGAGCACCAGGGTCAGGCTGCGGGTGAATTTCCACCCCAGTCCCTGTCCTGGCCCGAGGCACTGCAGGCCCGGTGGTCTCACTGTTCCAGAGCCTGAACACCCAGGACCCCAGGAGCGGGACAGGGCTGGCAGAGCGTCCCCACACACAGGTGTGGGGAAGCTCCCCCTTCCCCCCAAGCAGGAAGTGAGAGGGCGTTTTCTGAGCAGCAGCCGGAGGGCCCAGGGTGCCAAGCACAGCTCCTCGGGGACAGGGCAGGGCTGACCGGAGGCTTCCTTTGTCTGCCACGCAGCCTTCGCCCCATGCCTGGGCATTCAGTATCTAAAGGACCCGCCCAGGCCCATGTGTCTGGCACATGCAGCAGGGAACAGTGCTGCAGGGCTGGCTCGGACCTCGGGAACCGCCCGGGGATCACTCCTGTGCTGAGACCCTGTGACAGGAGAGTGGCTGTAACGCCATCACGCCAGGGACTGCCCTGGGGCATGCAGCCCCCTCACCAGGAACACTGTTTATGGCAGCAGCAGGAGGGGACGGGTCTGCTCAGACCGTGTGCTGCACCATGGAAGCCAAACACCGGAGAGGCAAAGGCCACCATGAGCAGGGAGCATGAAGCCGGCAACAGGCGGGGGGGCAAAGAGAGCTAGATGTGGGGAGTGGGACTGACCGGGCAATGCTGTCTCCAAGGGGTCCCTGTGCCATGGAGGGCAGAAGCCCAGGAGGGAGGCGTGACCCCCTCTCTCTCCCTCCCCTGGGAGGCGTTTGGATCCCATTGGGGGGTCATATCCACTCTCCCCAACTCGAGAGAAAGTGACAGGAGCCTCCCGCTGGTGCTGGTCCAGAAGAGGCTACGGCAAATGTCTCCATGTGAGTGGTACCGGTGTTTTCCAGCTGGGAGCTCCTCCACCCGGCATGCATGGCTGGTTCGGGCCCCTCCACCAGCCCCTGGAGCACACGGCGCTGCTTGCAGCTCGGCTGCGCAGAGCTGGCCATCTTGTTCACAGAACCTGCCTGTCGGGCAGCAACGACCTCCCCACAGAGCGGGAGCCCCAGTTCAATACATGGCCAGAGGGAGCTCACAAGCTGGCCGAGTGCCCCCAAGGGCACAGCACAGCCTCCTGGCAGGCACCACAGCCCAGTGCCCATGGGAACAAGCGACAGACAGCCACAGCTCAGATCTGAAAGTCTGGGCTCCCCACAGGGCCCCAGCAGCCTGGGGGCCCCGCACACAGCAGGGTTTGCAGCCACGCTGCAGACCGGTGGTAAGGCCAGACAGGGCTGAGCAGGCTGAGGCTCCGGAGGAGCCCAGAGAATCCAGGCTGCCATTCGCCGCTCCTAAGGCTCAGGAGTGGGTGAGGCCGGCAACCTGCCCTCCACGCTCCCCAACCCAGGTGGCCTGAGGGCGCAGCGGGGATGATGTCTCGTCCCTGGGCTGCCGCAGGAGGAGCTGCTGGGGAGCCAGCACCCCGATGCTTGTCCACACGGATGCCGCGGCGCATGCTAAGGACAGACCCCTCACCGTCCTAACGCCTCCTGGACGCACCAGCCTGGCTGCTGCGGCACAGGGCTCGAGAGAGAACCTGAGACAGGATCATCATTGCCAGCACTGCACTCGCAGGCATCTACACAGCGCCTGCCAGGCCCCCATGGCCCGGCTTTGCCGGGCATCGGCACAGCCTCTGAGCCAGAGGGCCGCAGCCGCAGAGCAGGGGCAGTGGAGAGCAGCAGGGAGCAGCAAAGGTTCCTCCCATGCAGCCTGAACCGCGTCCATCAATTGCGCGTCCAGAGAACAGGGAGCTTGGGTGGCCGAACAGACAACAAAGCCGCTCTGGGCCAGAGCAGAGAGATTCCCTCTTCAGGAGGTTATGGACTCTCCACTAAGCCTGGGACTGACTCCGAGAGGGGCTTGGGGGGATCGGCCTCGGGATTGGGGTCAGGGGCTGGGGGGAGATCGGCCTGGGGACTGGGGTTTGGGAAGTGTGTGTGTGTGTGGGGGGGGATCGGCCTGGGGTTTGGTAGGGTTGGGGGACAGGGTCGGCCTGGGGACTGGGGTTTGGGAGGGTTGGGTGGGGATCGGCCTGGGGATTGGGGGGTCAGGGGCTGGTGGGGTTGGCTTGGGGTTTGGGAGGGTTGGGGCGAGATAGGCCTGGGGTTTGGGAGGGTTGGACGGGGATCGACCTGGGGACTGGGGGTCGGGCCTGGGGGGGATCGGCCTGGGGCCTCGGGTTTGGGAAGGTTGTGGGAGATCAGCCTGGGGCCTGGGGTTCAGTGGCGGGAAGTCTGGTCTGTTTTACACTGGCTTTTCCCTCTGTACTGACCCTGACCCAGAACACTCCCAGGCACCAGCAACCAGACACCCCAGATCCCCCTTTACTGGAGCCAGAGCCCCGGTCCGTACCCAGGCAGCTGTGTCCGTAGTGCACCATGAAGTCGGCCCCAAGGGCCCTCGCTGTAAAATCATCCACACAGCACGCACCGTAGGTCACGTCTCCCATCACCACCACCTCGGCACCGGTGAACCTGTGGGAAGGCAGAAGGGGGAGCATGAGGCCAGCACTGGGAGAAAATAACAGAACGCCACTAGCCGTCACATTCAGCCCCCAACTAAAACCCCTCCAACGCATTATTAAGGATCTACAACCTATCCTGAAGGATGACCCAACACTCTCACAAATCTTGGGAGACAGGCCAGTCCTTGCCTACAGACAGCCCCCCAACCTGAAGCAAATACTCACTAGCAACCACATACCACACAACAGAACCACTAACCCAGGAACCTATCCTTGCAACAAAGCCCGTTGCCAACTGTGCCCACATATCTATTCAGGGGACACCATCACAGGGCCTAATAACATCAGCCACACTATCAGAGGCTCGTTCACCTGCACATCTACCAATGTGATATATGCCATCATGTGCCAGCAATGCCCCTCTGCCATGTACATTGGTCAAACTGGACAGTCTCTACGTAAAAGAATAAATGGACAAAAATCAGATGTCAAGAATTACAACATTCATAAACCAGTCGGAGAACACTTCAATCTCTCTGGCCACGCGATTACAGACATGAAAGTTGCGATATTACAACAAAAAAACTTCAAAACCAGACTCCAGCGAGAGTCTGTTGAATTGGAATTCATTTGCAAATTGGATACAATTAACTTAGGCTTGAATAGAGACTGGGAGTGGCTTAGTCATTATGCAAGGTAACCTATTTCCCCTTGTTTTTTCCTACCCCCCCCCCGTCCCCACAGACGTTCTTGTTAAACCCTGGATTTGTGCTGGAAATGGCCCACCTTCATTATCATACACACTGTAAGAAGAGTGATCACTTTAGATAAAAGGAGTACTTGTGGCACCTTAGAGACTAACCAATTTATTTGAGCATGAGCTTTCGTGAGCTACAGCTCACTTCATCAGCTGTAGCTCACGAAAGCTCATGCTCAAATAAATTGGTTAGTCTCTAAGGTGCCACAAGTACTCCTTTTCTTTTTGCGAATACAGACTAACACGGCTGTTCCTCTGAAACCTGTCACTTTAGATAAGCTATTATCAGCAGGAGAGTGGGGTGGGGGGAGAGAAAACCTTTTGTAGTGGTAAACACCCATTTTTTCATGCTTTGTGTGTATAAAAAGATCTTCTATACTTTCCACAGTATGCATCCGATGAAGTGAGCTGTAGCTCACGAAAGCTCATGCTCAAATACATTGGTTAGTCTCTAAGGTGCCACAAGTACTCCTTTTCTTTTTGTTCACTTACAGAATCAGCATGGAGACATCCCTTTCTCAACAACCTTGTCTCCCCAACAAGCTGGCCAAACACAGCCACTCGGTTATCGGACTGTTTAACTTTCTTAACAGCTTTCACCCCATCTGAGACCTTCTCAAAGCTATCCACACTGGATCTTTCAACAGGAAAGTCAGTGGATCCATTCATAACAGAAAATTTCTGGCTGTTAAGATCTGAAACTTTCTTGATCAAATCACTTTCACACCCTTCAGTTGCAGTAAACTGCTTGAAAAGACTCCATGAGGATTCCTTTCCCTAGGGCTTTTTTATGCAACAATTCACCCTTCACAGAAATTCTGCCCTTACCCTCTTCACCTAGGGCTTGCTCTAGAGGAACACTTTCCTGAGCAACAACTGACTCTTTCTGGGTCTCACTTACATCCAGAATTACCTCTGGCCAATCCGGCGGATTCCTACACCATCCCCTTTCAGGCAAAATTACAGACTTCCTAGATAAAAGGTCAGAAGCATTCTCCTTCCCTTTGCCACACACAAGTTCAGGAATCTTTTCCTTCTTGTTACAGGTTTCCACACCCTCAGTAGGTAACACAATCACATCACCTTCATGCTCTCCTTGTGCCCTGGATAGGATCTCACCCTGATCAGACAGAGTTGCTATGCCCTTTCCCAACAACACACTAGCAACAGGCAAAATACAAGCACCAGAATTGTCTGGTCTCTGGGATTTTACATAGACCCTAACTGGATGTGACCTAGTTACAGGGCCATTCTCCCGAGCAGACACAAACTTAGGGCCATTCCCATCCTGGGCTTTAGCTGAATCCAGAACCAGCTCTGAGACAACTGCACGACCCTCAACCATCACAGGCTGAAAGGCCCCTTCTGTCTGCTCCAAAGGCAAAGAAGAGCCGGACACACTTTCTCCTTTCCCAGACACACAGCTTGGGATCTCATTCCCCTGGTCCCAGCACACAAGGCTGGTCACAGACAACTGCTTGGAGATCAGGGTAGCTCCCTCCATAGGCAAGTCAATACCCCTGACAGACACAGACACGTTTCCTTCCCTGTCACAATTCTTCACCCAGCTAACAGGTAAGGTCCAGGGACACTCATCTTCCACTCTCCTCGCCTTCCCACCCTGCTGACTAGACAAAGCCATCAGCTCACAAGGCTTCCTAGGCCCATCCAAACTTTCCTTACCAAGCACCTTGCCACTCCCAACAGATCCCCTGCCCTGCCTGTGTCTCCCCCCACTCAGCTGGGGTCTCAGCTCCCACTGTACTCAGCACTGCCCTTGCTGTCCCAGTGGGGACAGGCAGCGAGCTCGCTGCTTTCCTCACTGCATCAGAGCCAGCGTGATCCCATCTCCAGTGTGCAAGGGGGGCGGGGAGCATCTCTCTGTCCCACCCAGCTCCAGGGGTCTGGTTACAGGCAGGCAGGTACCCTGAGCCTAGCAGATCCTCCCCGCTGCCAGCCAGGTCATCTGCATTTTCACTGACCATTTCCCTCTCCACCGATTGGTTCCCTGGATTCAAATTCAAACCCTTGGCAGTTACCGGATCAGGGCCTGGATCCTGTCCCAAAGAGACACAGTCACCCCACAATAGGGTCTCACAGCCGATATCCTGGAGAACCCCAACGACCAGCCAGACCCACCCCTCCGGGGTCTGCACAGGGATCCGGGCCATAGGCAGGGCGAGGGGCTTCATCCCTGGGACCCTCACCCAGCTCACACAGCCCCATAGCATCTGGTGAGGCTGCATCACCCAGGGTCTTACAACAATTCTCTCTGTCCCAGGATCTCGCCACCCCAGGAATGTCTCCCCATTGACCGTCACCTTCTGCTCCCACTGGCGGTCCGAGGGGCCTGAACCCAGGAAACTCCATACAGACATATAGGTTGGGGTCAGGAGTGGGAGCCTGTCCACCTCCCCAACCATCTGGCTGACGGAGTCTATGGCCTTGGGACCCAGCAAGGGAGCTAGACACCGGGGCTTTTCCGCAGGGTCCCCCTGGTTCAAATCGCCAGCCTGCTCAAAGGCAGTGAGGTGGCATCCACGTCCCCCACCCCTTAACCAGGGGCAGCAATTTAGTCTCGAGGTTCCCTGCGGAACTGGCACCCCGGGGTCTATCCCCACTCACCCCTGGGGGGTCCCCTAGCCCTCCCCACTCCCCCACTGCCAGTTCATGCTGATGCTGCTTCTGCAGCTCTTTCTCGGGCTCTCGCTGTCTCTCACAGTCCTCTTGCTCTCTCGGACTCAGCTCCAATCCCGTCCATCTCCAATCTCCCGATGGGGAACCCGATCGTGAAGACCCCCGTCTGGTCGGGGACAGGAGTCTTGGCGATGCCTGCCCACCACTCCAGCTGCTCCCAGATCCTGCTATCGCCCCATTTGGGGTCAGGAATCTGTTCCTTACAGCGGTCATCCAGAGGAAACATTAAGGTCCTGTCAGCTGTGCCCACCGCACGCCTGGCACTGCTAGAAGGGTCTGAAAGCCATCCCTGCTCAGCCTGCATACCCAAGGCTCCCCGCGTCCCCTGCATCCAGCATGCCCATGACACCTCACGCTTGCGTCTGTGGGGAGCAGACTGGGGCCCTTAGAGGGTCCCAGGCACTGTCCCACACGTGGCGCTGGACCATTAGAGGAGCATTTGCTGGTTAGGTGGCACCTGGAGAGAAATATGAGTCACACAGCTCCCCGTCAGCGCCCGCCTTCTGCTCCTGGAACGAGCCTCAGCGGAGGAAAAGCGTGCCCAGCTCCTGGTCCCACACAGCCGGAGCAGAGCCAGAACCCGCCAGGAAGTGCAGCCATCCGGCTGGCACCCACGAGGCCAGGGTGGGGCGGCTTGTGACAGGCCTGGTGCCAGAGGCAGAGGCTGGTCTGTGATTTAAAGGCACCACCTCTGTAGGTATTTTATTGCACCAGTCCAGGGATTATTATCTTGGCCGCACGCCCAGGGAGCTGCTGCGGTATTTTAATTAGGAAAGCAGGTATTGTAATGACAGAGCCCCTGCCTGAAGGGGCTGGTTAAACCATATGCTAATTCCTTGTTTACATCCAGGTTTCACTGAGCACTTGCAGGAGCTGCTCTCCTCCTATTGTCTGGGCCCTATCTCACTGCACCACCCTCCCGCCTTGCCTCCCCCACGGGGCTGGAGCGCAGCGAGCTGGCTCCCCCCCGACAGGGCTCAGCGCGTCGGTGCTGGGAAAGGAGACAGATTGGGAGGGCCCAGGCATAGCCCTGCCTTGCCCAGGGAGAGCCCATCTCACAGTGAGGGGCTCAGTCTGCCCAGCCCCTTTGTTCCTGGACGGCTCTGCTTAGGTGGCCAGCAAGGGGCCAGCTGCGGTGCTTCCTGCGAGACGGCCCGAGACCCCTCGCTCCGGTGGGACCCGCTCCCAGGCAGTACCAGCCTGAGCTGAGTCCAGCAGCGGCAAGGGGAAGGGCCCGACAGCCCAGTCCAGCCCTCCGGGCCATTCCCAGGGCTGGCAGCCCAGGCCCCACAAGGGGCAGTGCGGGCAGCTGTGGCACCGTCTCCGAGTCATCCAGCCCCGGGTGGGTGAGAAGGACGCAGCGAAGGGCCAGTCTGCACTCGGCGCAGGAACCAGGGTGCCTCTCGCTGTCTCATTCCAACCCTTGGCTTGCTTTCCAGGCCGCTGCTCCATGGGATCAGCTCCCAAGGAACCGTCCCCGCGGGGCTTCCCCGCACTGCTCGCCCGCTGGCACAGGCCACAGCAGGGGGCTATTGGGGGCTGAGTGCCCAGCTCTC